CCCTAAAAGTTTTTTTGGAAGAATACTGGAACTTGGTATGGAGTTGTGTATACAAAATGTTTCAATTGCTCATGGAAAAAATGTGAGTTATTAAAAAAGGAGGCATGTCGCCTCCCATACATACTAAAAATTTCTTAATACATATCTCTGGAAGGATAGGAAATCTTTGGAAGTATTGTTATGGAGATTTATTTTATAAGTGCCGTAGTGATAGCAAAAATTTTTTTTAATGGAAAAGGGAGAGCCGGGTTCGGCCTTATAATCTAAAGCTCTCTTGAGGCATTTGCTACAGTAATGAGAAGTGGTATTTTATCAAGGCCAGGTTACTGAATTTGAGTTGGAAATATTAGAACCCGCCGTGGCACCTCCAAGAAGGTTACATGTTTACGCGTCGTATACCTGGAACCATTTTAAGGTAAACTTAGAGGGATTGATATCTTTCGTATGCCTAGCGCGCAGACGAGATTTCATAATTTCATAGTTTCAAATGGCCTAAATACCTTAACTCGCTTAAAAAATAACGAGCTATAACGAAATGGGCACAGAAATAAAAATTAACATCATTAAATTATTTTTCATATTTGTATAAAAGCGCGGGGTGAAACCCGCGGGTGTAAGCTAGTGGTCTATAAAACAGCAAACTAAAAGTTTTTTCCTATAAATTCTAATTAAAAAGCTTGCGGTTTAGATAAAGTTTTTATAATTTTTACACAAAGTTTGAAATTATGACTTAAGTATATACTTGTTTTATAGAATGAACTTGTTAATTTTGATTTACTTTTCCGACACTACCGTCAGCGTCAACAAATTTCACTCACTAATTTATTTTCCAATATTCACAGTACTTTTAATGATAAATATTCTTCTTCTTAAACTATAAACTTTAAAAACTTTTCATCGAAACTTCAATCAGACTTTTTAAAACAGTTCTTGGTACGCAGTTTTATAGCGTATTCAATTTTATACCACATGCACAAGGTTTTTTTATATAGAAAAATTTGCGAAAGAGAGGCAGTAAAAAAGATTGTCAAAAACTCTGATTAAAAATTTGAAATTTTGATGAAAAGTTTTTCCAATGTGAGAATTTTTTGTGAAATCTGTACAAAGTTTGATAATTTAATATATTAAGAATGAACTTTTATTAAAAATTACCGAAAAATATTTTTCATGAAAAACATTCATTCTTATAAAATATATCAGTGTGTGGAAATTTTTGTATAATGAATAACAAATAACGAACTGTCAAGGTACACTAAACAGGACCCACTTACTAGCAAAAATGACTGAATGCAGCCAAAAATTAGTGACGGATATGTATGAATACCAGTGCTATTTTGACTGAGACGGAACGGTGACGGTGACGGTTCGGACTCCGAACTTCGGTACCGTGACGAAACTGTGACGTGACTGATGTGTGCGGATAGACCTTTAGCCAGCCGGCTACGTTGAGGTAGGATATGCTCGCAGCACATTCATGTCATTCTTGTCTTTATTACATGCGTTGAGTTTTCATGCTTGTTGAATTTGTCATATCCATTGTTTCTTGTTCTTGTTGCAGTTGGTGTTACATTGAAGTTGATATGCTCTCGTTATGACTTTAAACCTTCAAGCTAAACGTTGCGGCAAATTAGCAACAGCAACATTTATTTTTTCGTTGTAAATTTAATTCTTTTTTACCGCGACTCGTTAAATTAAGAATGCGCTGCACTGAGCTATGCAGGGAATACCAACGTTTGCTTTTATGGAATTTTTTTTTTTATATTATGGAATTCGAAATCCCGCCTTTGGACAAGACGGATAAAGGTGTAAATAAATGAAGGATTAACTAACATTAAGCACTTACGGCCAGCTGATCACGAGGCAAGGATAGTAAAGTTAGATAATCAACAGAAAGGATGAAGAAGTAACATTTTTAGTTCAAAGCCTGCACTAAATATTAATAAACCGCTTATTGGCCGGTTTTTGTTAAATTAATACAATTGCCATCAAATAAGATGCAATAATTTCCGTTTCAACCATTTCCGTATGCATCGTTTCCGTTGAATTTGCCAATTTACTCCCAACCGCCAAGAGAACGGCAGAGACTTTAGGTGGGTTTCGGCCCTACCAAGGTGGCCAGTGTATATACCACGCACTGCCATTTCGATGCTATGAAGTACCTACATTTCACGGCGCTGAATTGATCCGTTGTGCTAAAAAGAGCGCGTGAAAGGTAACGGGAATAAAAACCGCGAAGTCTGTTCTGCCTCTTCCAAGTTGGTTAAGGAAACAAAGTGAATGGGTCTGGTGGTAAACGAGGACAAGACGAAGTATTTCCTGTCATCAAACAAACAGTCAGCACATTCGCGCCTTGGCACCCACGTCACTGTTGACGGTTTCAATTTCGAGAAAGTAGAGAGTTTCGATTACTTGGGAACCAGCATTAACACCGATAATAATGTCAGCATGGAAATCCAACGCAGAATAACTCTTGCCAACAAGCGCTACTTTGGACTGAGTAGGCAATTCAGGAGTAAAGTCCTCTCTCGACGTACGAAAACCGCTCTCTATAAGTCACTCACCATGCCCGTATATGGCGCAGAAACATGAACCGCAGACGATGGAATAATGAGCTGTATGTATGAGCTTTACGACGACATGGACATAGTGAAGCGAATTAAAATACAGCGACTCTGCTGGCTTGGCTATGTCGTTCGAATGGAGACCGACGTTCCAGCTCTGAAAGTATTCAACTCGGAACCCGCTGGTGGTAGCAGAGGAAGAGGGAGGCCCCACTGCGATGGAAAGATCAGGTGGAGAAGGACTTGGCTTCACTTGGCGTTTCCGATTGGTGTCAGTTGGCACAGAAGAGAAACGACTGGCGTGCTTTGCTGAACTCGGCCAAAACCGCTTAGGCGGTTTCAGCGCCAAATAAGGAGAAGAAGAATGTGTTTATGCATTCGTACTTGTTTAGCTATACTTCTGTGACTCCTGAATATGTAGGTATGTATATGTACATAGATATAAAAACGATAAAAATGTGTGCTTTTCCTGCAAATGTTCTCATATTTATGTATTTATTAATTCAGCAAAATATGTATATGTAATTTCTTCAATTAATTTGTATTAGTATGCATCTACTTATAATTTAAAAATATTCATTTATAAAATATTTATGTAAGTATTCATTTATACTATTTAATAAAAATTTCTCTTTAATTGCAACATTTTACCGCGCACATAAATTTATTCAAATATCTTTGGCATGAAAGTGTTTGTCATATGCATGCATACAAACATACATATGTACATGTGCACAAATATACGCATATACATATATTCATGAGAGTGGAGAAATTATTTAAATAAAACACGACAACGAAACATATATAATAAAAAAAAGATTAAAGTAGTATGCACTTAAAAACAAATTAAATAATAGAAACTCCAGATTACACCGCAATTACTACATTTTGACCGCATTTGCTGTAGTGGCGGTAAAAAATAATTAAATTCCCATTCATGTTTGCAGTATTTTAATTAGCCAATAAGTGTAGCAAAGCCTAATAAATTTTATATGTATTTACATATATATATATACAATGTACGCATTTTCGATAGCAATTAGCGCTATAGTAAGCTTTAAGTACGGAATGGGTTTGTAATTCGTATGCAAATTAGCATAGATTCGTAAAATAAGCTTGTCGATATACAAATAAAAGATAATTTTCAATCTATTTGGAATGGATTACTCTGATTGGAATTTCATTTACATATTTAGTTACTATTTATTTATTTAGTGTTCCAGCGCACAAAATGGATGTTGCTCATACGCCGTGTTACCTGCCTTAATATGGACATTGTGTTTCACATACATATGTACATATACAAATTGTAGACCAATTTACTGAAATATATATATATTCTATACTAGTAGATATAAAATGTAATAGAATATATTTGAAGAATTTTTGGCTGTTGCAACCCACTTTAACTGGTGACTAGACAGTAGCCTCGGACCAAACAGAGATTATATTTTATCAAAAGTGGCATATAGACGAGAAAGGTATACCATATACAAAGAAAAAAAATTAGAGAGTTGCCACCTGTTTGAAAATTGAAGTTTAAGGAAATTGATAAAATTGCAATATGGCTGTTAAAAGAAAGAGGCTTCAAGCGAAAATTTTTTGTATGGAAATTGCCACATGTTTGCAAAATTTTTATTTAATTTAATTGATAAGATAAATTAGATATTGCAGTGGGGGTATTAAACTGCAGAGGTTTAGGAAAGTTTGCTGCCGAAAATATTTTTTATTATTTGTAGGTAAATTTGGTAATTGCTCGCTCGCTCTTACAGCTCAACCTAATTTTACCGGCGTGAGTTTTTCAACGCACGCCTGCATGTTTTTCACATTTGATCAACCGAAATCAATTTGGGTGCGTGATTTCTCAGAGTTGCGTTTCTGTCAAATTTACAGAGGTTTGTTGAGCAAAATTTGAATTCATAGTCGCGCCAAAATGTCAAATGAGCACAAATGTCAAATGTTCAATTTCGGTTGGGCCCATACAAGTTGTATGTGCATGAGAAATTTTTGACAGTAAACTTCCGGCGTGCGTGAATATTAGGTTGGCCTAATAGCTACATATCTTGAAAGAGATTTCGTTAATGATGTCACAAACTAGCACCGAACACTCGTAGAAGATATTTGCAAATGTATTTTGTTATATATGTTTGGTACTTCCGATAGGTTGAAAGTATGATGTATGTATACACGCATTTTAATTACTTTTTCGTGTATTTCTAGTTGGCTCATGCGATTTCATTCGCAAGTTTATTATTTTTGTATAACTATTTAAAATAAAATGTTACTAATACAGTTCAAAGAAAAATAAAGGCGCATAGGTAAATGAATTTCCACCGGTATATCTCTGTAACTTTTCCTTTTTTCCAGCATACTTTCATGCATATCTTTACATTTTCTATGGAATGTATTTTTTTCACAACATTTTTTCATACTCACCAAGCATTCCAGCGTGGCGCTCTGTCCGTACTCAGCATAAATCATTTGCCGGTAGACTGCAATCATTGGCGAGACTGTGTGTACGAAATGAAATAAAAGAGAATAAAAATTACATTTTTACAGTTAACTACATATTTTTATTAACTTTTGATACCAAAAAAAAAACTGTGTTTAAAATGTATTGTAAATAAGCGAAAGGTTTTGAAATTACAACATTTTTCACTAGTAGGAAAATATTTTTAGTTTTGTAGTGTGAAATAAATTTTTCTACCACAATTTATGCCTTCAGCTGCTAGAGGACACTCTCTCACTTAATATACATACATATGTACATACTATGTAGTTATGTACGCACGCTAGGTGTGATCGATTTTTGTATTTATGTAACTAAGCTACCTGATATCGGTAAAATAACTCTAAAGGGCAATACCCTCGAAGTAAAAGAAGAGACTAAGTATCCCCATCACCTGGGAAGCTCCCTTAGCTTTCGTCTCCCGGACCGCTGTAGCCGTACTACTGATCCTAAATAAGTGCAATATTAGATTGTTAGCTTCCGTTATAACAGGACAGTGCCTAATTGGCAGGCATGCCTATCGACTAGGCATACATTTACAAGACTTTTGTAGAAGCTGTCAATATGAAGAGGAAGAGGAAATGATTCTGTACCTGTTGTGCTAGTGCCCTACTCTATCTAGACAAAGACTCTCCAGTCTTGGTAGGAAATTCCTCGACAACTTGGAGCACCTTAGATGCGTGGGAATCAGGGATATTCTAAAATGCCTGCAAAATTTAAAATGGTTTTAGGAGGGATTGGGAGTTGCTGATCCGACATGCGGCATCACATTTCGTCCTGAGCCTAAGTGTGTCTTACAGACGACCACGACAACCTAACGTAACCTACGCATAGACCTGTTAGTGCCTGGCGATACTAGATGAAACTCGATTTTTATGAGTTGAAATAAACATCACTTGGAGTATTTATGCGTCGGGGGTCTTTACAATGGGATACACAAACAATATATCCCTTTTAAATGCCTTCGAGGTGTCCTCTATGATAAGACCCATAATTAGGTATGTATTTGTGGTGTGGTGGAGCCGAATCTCAATCAAGAGCATGGTACATTTGCTTTCCAACCAGCCACCGTCTTGGATCCGAAATTTTTTCTAATCTTAATTCATATAGGCAATCGGTTACCTCGAAACCCTCTACCCACTAGGCGCCCAGACACCATTGTTTTATATAAATTCAATCAATTTTTAAAGATTCAATTTTGAATTCAACTTCAAACTCGAAACCACCTATCTCCAATTTTCCTATGTACCATAAATTTACATTTTTGTTGCAAATTCGGCCGCCATATTGTATCCACCATTTTGAATTTTGAAAAGCTGATTTCATATTCGTAACCAGCGACCACAAAAACCACTGCATACCAACATTGAAGTAAACCCGTCAGTATTTATAACATTTTTTCTGTGATAAAAGCCTACAAGGATTTTAGAAGTAAGAAAAAGTTCTGAAGTGGTGGTGCGAAACGTAATGGTGCTCCTGTGTAATTTTTGCTGAATCAGCAATCGAGGCTTTTTGAGAAAAAGTTTATTAAAAAAATGGCAACATGAGGGTTAAATAATTTACAAAAAAAATTTTATTAAAGGGCTGCGAAAAGGCATCTTACGGATTAAGAGAGAAGCATAAGCCGAGTCAATGAAATGTCGAATTTTAGATATACTCACAGTAAACATGAACGAGAAAGGTAGCATTTGCAACTGGCACCAAACCATTATCCGCAAAGCAAGTGTAGGCAGCCATCTGATGTCGAGTAATATTTGTGAATTTCAAATAAGGTCCACTAACCGATGACACTGAAATCAGCAAAGCGGAAATATTACTACTAGTTTATTATAAAACATAATACATTAATTTAAATTACAGCGCAATCAAAAATAAACAATCAATGATACACAGTCCTACATATGTACATATAAATAAATTTGAAATTAATGTACTTACTTTCTACGCCATTAATATTGATTGTACGTCCGTCATCGCGTCGCCACTCAACGTGCGGCATGGGATTACCACTGGCCGCACAGCTCAAATTCAACGTCTTACCCTCCTCAACAATAACAAAGCGTTCGATGTTTGGCGCATTAATATCTGAAATGGGAGGAAAAGTGGAAGGGTGTTACATAGCATACGGTGAATTTACATAAGTATTTGAAAGAAAGTTTAATTCTAATTGGTTTGAAAGATTACAAGCATGATATAAATATTTCAAATTTTTTTTATCATGATTACAAGCCAAATGCGCAATGCATAAAGGATGTCATCAAGCAGCGAAGGAAATCGAAAGGAGTGAAAGTAATTGAGCTTCTAATTAATCATAAATCAATTTGTGTGTATTCACTTGAAACCGATAGGTAAAATAATTCCAAATGTGTAAATATTAATTAAATTTGATTTGATACATTGTAAGACTGCTTTGTTTTACGTTATCATACATAATTTGAAAAGAAAAATTTATGCATACACTACATATGTACTACATATATGATATATAGATATGATATGTAGATATTTATGTATTAGATAAACACACTACATATTCATAAATGCTCGTTATAATATTATTATATATTTACCAGCAATCGATGGTGGAATGAGTAAATCATTGGAGAAGCTGCCATTTAAAAGTTGTACCTTCCATGCATTTATGCCAGGAATTCCCGGAGTTCCATCTTTACCGGACTTACCAGGTCGTCCACGTGGTCCGGCAATACCTGCAATAATGCAATGCTTATTTACTCGATATAGTGCACAAATACATTACATATTTATATACGAATATATCAAAGTTTATAATGCAGAAAGTTCATAGGGGAATGAAAATTCGTACGATCCTCGAACGCAACATATGCAAGGCAAGGGAAATTTTTGGGAGGCCATAGGGATTACACAGCACTCCAATAAAATCGAAAAAAGGTTCTTTTGACCATACCAGGAGTTTTACATGTTTTTGGGGTCGCTGAACACGATTCTGAAGTTCATTTTGCGCCATCACGTCTAATCTCAAAAAACCTGGCGAACTATACTATGTGAATGACGAAATTTTATAAGGCTTAGTACCTTAGGATTTAAGAAAATTATCAAATTTATATAACACTTAGTTTTCAGGGATTTTTGAGGTTGCTGATTACGACGTTTGAGGTGCTTTGTTGAACTCGGCCAAATTCGCTTATGCGGTTACAGCGCCAAATAAGAAGAAGAAGATTACGAATATTAAGTCAGATTTTCAAAATTAAATATGGCGGATGCAATATATCTGTCTAATTTGAAAATATGTTTTAATTCTTCTGAAATTGAGTTTGGTCCGCCATTTTGCCATCTCGGCAATTTTAGTCAAAAGCAGGGTGAATGGTTCCACCAGGATTAACCAAGAATTTAAAAGGGATATCAGGTTGTTTGAAATTACCATATGTCGACAGACTACTGCTGATATTTATAGAGAAACAACTTAAACCAACATAAAACAAAAGCACTACGGGGATCACAAATAACTAAAAATCTTGGTATTACTGTAAGAGTCACGACACATAAAAATTCCGTTTTGAAGTTTTAAATCTCATTTAAGAATAGTGAGAGCGGACGTGGCCCACTCAAGCAAACCAAAGAGAACAGAATCATGCTCATTCTACGCCGTTGTTCCTGGGTATTGGACCTCGAGAACAGGGCTCGAATCATCACATACGATATCGTATTACTCGTCACGTAAAAACACATTTTTCGGATTATGACATACGTGAACGAACCCATTCAACTTATACGACTGACGTATCACGTAATATTCTTTCATAGGGTTTTCGATCCATGAACGGATGTTACGATTCGAGCCCTGTTGTATACCAAATTTTATAAAAACCATCTTTTTGGATTTTAAAAATCTAGCTTCATATTCGCCATCAGCGACACCAAAACCCCTTCGTTATCATGGGTTAAGTAAATCCGTCAACATTAAAAAATAGTTTGCGATTCAGCGACCCCAAAAACAGCAGTTAGTCTGGTCAAAAGAATTTTTCATCAATTGTTTGTTTGTGATCCTGATTAAAAAATCAGTTTGATTTTCGTAGATTAAATTTAAAACTCCTACAATACAGTGAAAACCTCGATTTCGGCGCTTAAGTTTTCGTTCTCATTATATTAGCTGAAAGGTGATTGAGCTTGTCTTTTGTGAATACGAATTGAGAAAAAAATAAATAAAATGGCCGAAGACATGGCTGCCCAAAGTTTCCAAAAAGGACTATATGCATTCTTGTTCACCATTTTGTATTCACCATCTTGAATTTCTTTAATCTGACTATGGATTTCTAATCAACGTTGTCTAAAACACCTGAAAACCAATTCTTGTCAAATAGTTAGATTGCATGAAGTTTTTGAGGGGATAGGTCATTTAAAGTCCTGAAGCAGTCAAAAAGGCAGCTTTAGGCAGCTGATTGTACTTTTATCAAGTTTTAAAGAGGTTATATAATACTAAAATACTGTTCTCCGTTTGGAGAAATTTTGAGTATTTTTGTAGGCCTCTTAACCCTTTGTTGTCCCTTAAATTTTTTTTCGTTTAGCTTTTTTGAGTGTCATAAAGAATATGTTAACCGGAGGAACTATTTTTTATATTTTGTATAAGGTCATATCTATGTATATGTAATATAAAAATCCTAAAACATTGCCTAAATTATTTACACAGCGTAAAAAAACCTATAAATCAAACACTCTTTAAAATTATTCAAAAAATCCATTTCTAACAATATACCAATTTCCCCGATTTTTCTTGAAGAGTTTATGGCATACAAAGAAATTAAATTCAGCTTTTAAGGGCTTCCATGTATTTAGCTAATTAGACAAAATATAAAAAAACTTTTTGAATTTTTTCCGCACATACGGATTTTCTTTAAACCAAATTTGACAAGAGACAGCGGAAACTTGTTTCCAAATATAAATATCATCTTTCCTTTCTTTTGAAAAAAAGACATTGGGCTGTGTAGATGGCACTACATTTATTGCTGTAGCAAAACCATTAGACCGCCTTCAAAAAGTCAGTCGACGATGCCATAGGAAGACCTTGAAATTGGCTCATGCAAAGAAAATTGGAGGTCGAACCATCAACGCCCGATAACGCTTTAAAGTTACTTTAAAGTCCTATAAATTCCTATAGACACACACAGCCACGAAAGCAATTTAAGGGAAAAATGATTTAAATGTTTTGAATTTTATACGGAAATTGACACAAAATAAAAAATCATTTTCCATTTAAATTGCTGGTGAAACCGGCTGAAAGACTTTCAGATTTCAAAGATCCCTAAGAACTTTCTCGGCCATTCGAGGGTTAAAGACGTGCTGGCTGTATATATTCTAACTACTTGGCGAATAGCATGCGTTTGCCGCGCGGTGATCGATGACTAAAAAGCACAAAAAAGAAAATTGTTTTATTTTTAGACATTCATAAAAGAACAAAGCCAAGGCTTAAATGTGTTTATTTCTGCCCTTAAAGGTCCCAAAAAATTACGAACGCTGAAGTGAGAAGAATCCCTAAAATTCCAAAGAGGCCGCTAAAAATATCGAAAAATCGCCGAACATGTCTTTATATATTTGCCGTATCTTTAAAAACTAAGTAATTGCATTTTCTTAAAATTTATTTTAATAAATCGAGTAAAAGCTGGGAAATTTTCTTTGCTTTTTTTAAAAATGTATTTAAATAAATCGAGTTAAAACTCTGAAATTTTAAGAAAGAGCAATTTTTTATAATACATTTACACTAAGCCTTAACTGCAGTTTATGCCTGTCGGCAAAAGGAGATCACAGCTCCGAGGGGGTAATTTCTCATATTAAGTGCAAGCAGTTGAGACCAAAAAGGCTCAAAGTAAGAAATGAACTTTGCTGATCACCTTACGTTAACGTTATTTGCACTTACCAGGGCTCATAACTGCAATTAAGCGCTTGGTGGAAAAGGGGTATTAGTTGTAACTCATAGGGCCCAATATATGAATCTATATAATACAAATGTTTGCCTCAAGGCCTATTGCAGACTGCCGCATTTTATATGTGCATTTGATACCGTAAAAGCACACAAATTCGTATACAAAAAATAGCTACTACCCTCTAGCATCCCATAAAGAACACAAAAAAGCAAAGCTTTTTTCTTTATTGGCAAATATTTTTCTTTACTTCTTTAAGAAAAAATTTACTTGCTCCTGACAACATTGAATCAACATTTCAGAAGTAACATTTCAGAAATGTTCGAAAAACTCATGCTGGAATAATACCATGCGAAAAGCTTTTCCAAAAACAACAAATAAACACAAACGAAAATGAGCGAGGAAAAAGAAAAACAGTAAACAAACAATGCCAACAAACAGCATCCAAGAAAAGAAAAAAGATAAACAACATTGAAGCTGCCGTAGCGAATACCTAACAAGGATATTCGCAAAAAAAAAACAATCCTTAGATTGGCAAAACAAGGCCAAGTTATGGAAACAAATCAGAGCAAAATCAGTATGCAAAAGCCAATTTAACAAAGGAAAAAGTCAAAGTACTCTAAATTGCGCCGCATCGAAGTGGCGAATTTAGATATTCTTTTAGCAGCTCCTAAAACTATGCAACTACTCCCAACTATAAATCTCCAACTCTAACCAGCAACTGAGAAAGTAATTTCAGCTAGTCGGAGAAAGTAATCATTGCTGTGTGAACTCATACATATGCAAATGTAGTATAAGCGTTTAGGTTAAAGCATTTTCCTTTAAAGGACGCAGTACGACATTAAGAAACCTGTAGTGAAGCCAGCCCTTTAACTTGCATGAAGTACAAACATACATATACATATTTATACTAGTACAATAACTGCGCCATCCCGATAAGCAAGAACAAATGAAATTGTAAATGGAAACGAAAATTCATAATGGCAGCGTGTACAAAAGAACGCATTATTTATATTTATTTTATTTATTTTTGTCCCACGCTAAAAGCATATATTGACTCTGCCCGTTTTAGTTCAATTATTTTTTGATTGCAGCTTCCACTAACGTTAATCTCTCACATAGTAGATATAAATGGAGGCCAATTTTAATTAAGCAAAGTAATGGTAGGAGGACTAGAATAATATTAGTCACGAAATCTGAATCAATAAGTTATGAGTAGAGCTCAAATATATGTGCCATCATAGCTATAAGCAAAATACAGTCAGCGTCAAAAAAATAAATACCCTGACGTTTTGACGGTTTTATTTATTTTTATTTTCCATGCCAAATTTTTCTTATTATTTTATAAAACTATAATTCATTCAGTCGGCCGCTGTGGTTTAGTGGTAAGCAGTGCGCGCTTCCACTCCGCAGGGCCGGGGTTCAAGTCCTGGTCAAAACAACATCGCAAAAAAAATATAGAAAAAAAGGTTTTTTTCTTAACAGCGGTCATGCCTCGGCAGGCAAAAGCAAACCTGCGAGTGTATTTCTGCCATGAAAAACAGCTTCGCATAAAAATATAATCGCCGTTCGGAGTCGGCGTAAAAGTGCAGGTCTCTCCGCCTCCGCCTTGTTCGACAATATCAAGGTGCACGCCAAAAATCGGTGGAGAAGCTCGGCCAACACTAACATATGTGTAAGCGCCAATCTATTATATTAATTCATTCAACAGCAAAACCTACAAGAATAGATTTCTTTAAAGAAAGAAAGAATTTTCATCAAAATTTTAAATCTTTCGACTCGATTTCATAGAAAAATTTTTAGTTTCAAGTTTCAAGTCGAAAAAAATTACCGTTGATTTTTTTTTTTTTATATTTTTTGTCGTGTTGCGCATTTCATTCCATATAACGCAAGAACAAAAGCTATTTTTATACAAAACTAAACAACTGCATAAATACTTGAAATTTTTCTAAGAAGTCGAATTAAAAAATGTTGAATTTTTGGTGACAATTTTTTGGTATTTCTTGCATTTTCACGAGCTGGGTATTTAATTCAAATAACTGATTAATGTGGTTTTTGCTTAGGAATGAACTGTATCTTTTAATAAGTAAATAAGTAAAATTTTGTATGAAAAATTTAAACAAAAATAAAATCGTCAAAAATCAGGCTATTCATATGTTTGACGCTAACTGTACTTATACTGATATACACTTACTGATATACACTTTGCTTATAGTTATTATGATATATATTTCTAGGCTTATTTTTTAACAAAAGAATCCCAGCTCTTTTCTTTATCTATGGAACGGTATTTCGAGCCACGTAACTGCTTTTACATAGATGTACTTGCGACAGATTTTTAGGGTCAAAATACAACTTCAGGTGAATTCAAAAACAATGTCCGACATACATATTTAGAGGATTCACAAGATGTTAAGCTGAGTGGTGGATCGCTAAATTTTTCCGCTTATCCCTTCATGTTTGGCATCTCTATGCTCATATTTCTACTCAGAATTAAAGTTTCAGTACTCTGGTGCGCAAAAAAGTCAAATTTGTTGAGAAAATCGGTACCGGCTAAAACGGAGATGCTTCTCTCAAACAAAGAGCAGACCGAGTTGATATTTATTGCCTGATCAGATAGAATGCTTTTGTATGAATCTTTGTACTAATCCAGATGCCCTTTGTTCAGAACCCAATTTTCGTCTATGGTTCTTTTACAGAGTACAGAGCTATGGAATGCTGACCAATGTTCGGCGTTCTTCAGTAATACCTTGAGACTTGAAGCATACCGGTTTATCTTCCTTTTAGGGCATGTTACGGTTGATGCTTTAAAATTATTTTTTAAAGTGCATAAGCTCCACTCTACGTCTCATGATGCATATTGTTCGATATACATAGATAACAAGGCTGTTATATCTTCTTCCTAATCCAAATTTAAAATCATTTAGACTATATTTACCCTAAACAACTTACCCTTGAGTCCTCGCTCTCCAGGTGGTCCCTGTGCACCCTTTGGTCCCGATGCACCATCCTTACCATCTTTACCGTTCAATCCATCTCGACCATCCAAACCTGGCAGCCCATCTTTGCCCGGTATACCATCAGCACCTGCACGGCCGGGTACGCCATCTAGACCAGGCTCACCAGGTACACCATCACGACCATCAAGTCCAGCTCGCCCCGGTATACCAATGTCACCTTTGGGTCCACGTGGTCCTATGGGACCATTTGCGCCATCTACTCCTCGCGGTCCTGGTAGTCCGACATCACCGCGATTGCCTTTTGGACCAGGAATGCCCGGCAGACCTGGCGGTCCGGTGGGGCCCTTGGCACCCGCAGGGCCAGGTGGACCTTGTGGCGCCGGTGGACAGTAGTCTTGAGTGCCTTTGCAGAATCCGGTTATGATTTTTTCCTGGCAAAAAAAATCAAGTTTTTCTATTTAATTTCAAAAGAAGAAAGCCAAATATTTTGGTATTGTATAATGTTTTCAACAGGTATTCATTATATTTCAAACAGGGACCGTAACAGTTACAACTTTTATTAAAAAATCGATCTTTAAAAAATATTTTTGGGCTTTTATTTAATTACTCCTTAAATAACCGTTATTTCTGACTTTTATTCTATAAATCCCGGGTAACAATTATTTTTGATTTTTATCTAAATAATCTGCAAATAACAGTTATTTTTGATTTTTAAATTATATGTCTTAGATAACAGTTATCGACGACTTTTATTTATAAAGCTCATTAATAAAAATCAGTCAGTGACCTTTATTTTTTAAATCATACTTATAAAAGTCATTTGTATAAGTCGTAGCAAACTTTTGTTTCCCAACACCGCCTTATTTATATTGATGACATTTAAAAGTAAAAGTCACAGACTGATTTTTATTGATGACTTTTACGAATAATAATCTATATAATATCTAAGACATATAATATAAAAATTAAAAATAATTGTTAACTTTTTTAAATTTTGCATAAAAATTGCAAGTAAAAATTTATTTTCAAATTTGAGTCTCGGTGAAAAAAGAAATCAATTGGTATGTATTTATCACTTCGTTGTAGAACATTTTCTTCATAGTGAATTTTTCCATGACAGTTTTAATCAATAAGTATTATGTTCGGTCCCTGATTTCAAGTTCTTTCGATTTAAATATCAGCCGTGCATATCAAAAAAAATTAGCATCACCTATCTTTGCATTCTTAAAGCTTAAGTTTAAACTCTTTATTTATGCTAAATACTCACAGCTTGCACTCTCACTTACCGGCACACGACAGTAGGTATTTAGGTAAATCCACTCATCACCTCCCGGCGCTGCACCCTTCAGCCCTGTACGTTTGCGTATTTCCTTATCCTGCTCTTCGAGCACTTTACGGTGATCCGGGTTGAAAAATTCAATAACGGGATCAGCTAAAAAGACCGCAAAAAGAAAATCAATGAAATATTTACATTTTCATGAAAATTTAAGTGGAAAGAAAAAAGTTGTAATGCGTTTCTGCACAGGAAAAAAAGGTAAGCTGAAGGATAAACTGAGCACACGGATACATACATCAAATACATAAAAAATGGCACTCAGCCGACCAAATTGCATGGCAGCGATTGAGTGAAGTGATGTAGTTAAGCTGAGGATGCTGGTCACACCTTTCAAGAATGCGCACAGGAAATTAAAAGGAGTCTGGCAATCAGAAACGAAAAAATGTAAATTTAAGGTGCACTTCAACTTTACATTTTTTTTAAGGGGCACTGTCGCCTTGCTGAGTGAAAGATATCGATGTTAAAACTACAAGTAGCTATTAATACCCATTTACATATGTATGTATGTACATTGCAAATCGCAGCTATCAGAGCAGATACTACTGGACAATGTCGAAAGGCGCATTGGGCGATTGTTCGGAATTTCTGCGAATTTAATGAGTATGTAAAAGTTTGTAACTCCTCTAGATTTAAGTATCTTTTCACAGCAAACATTTGTACATATTTATTTGACGTACAATGGTCAGATTCATTTATATATGGGTCATTCCATTGTGGCTGGTGAGACATTTTACTTCAGAATACGATCAATCGTGAATTATAAATATAACTATGTCGTCGGAACTTACAACAGCGAACAGCGAAAGATACATTTTGACATAGAACGATAACTAACTTACAAAATTGCCTTAACACAAATACCAACCAACGATTTCCTAGTTTTATGTAACTATCATTTGAATGAACACGAACAAACACTTAAATTTCACTACAGCTGTTTTTGTGTTGTAAAATATGAACTAGTTATACGCTTTCGTTCTCAATAAAAATTTGGCTCATAGAAATATTAAAAAATATTTAAATTTATGACTGGTGTAAGGTAATTATGCACGAAAAAAAACCTCAAAAAATATTCCTAATGATTCATCTAAACCATTTCTAAGTGATGAGAGATCTCGCATGGCGTCGGTTTTCATTTCATCAAATTTCAAATCTCCCTGTACAGCTAAAAAGGTTCTAACTTCAAGAAATAAAACCTGTTTATGGAAATTCGAAATAAAGGCGCAGATGTAATAACCTTCAAAAAAATAGATGGCAACCCTAATTAAAAATATTATCAGCCTAAAGCTTTCTTAAAACTCTTTCGTTTGACACTAATATTTCGATATTTGATTTACGTAGCTTGCACATAAGTAAAAAAAATTCGACTTTTCAAACAGGTGGCAACCCCTTTAGAAGTAATTTTAAACTAAAATCTTTTTGTCGTCGGGCATTGTTATACATATTTCAATTAACTTATGAATTAAGTAGAATTTGATTTTTTAAACACATGGCAACTCTTCAAAATAAAGTTCAGAAATATATTATTTTCAAACCCATTTCGATTGATACCCATCTTTATCCATTTACCTTATAAAATAATTTGAATTAAATTTTTTCAACAGATGGCAGCCCTCTTCTGGCACAATAAAACAATTCTAAATGTTCAATTTAAAGATTTCTTAACACTCGTTCGATTGATACCCATTTTTTTTATTTCATGTAACATATGTATAATTGAGCTAAATACGACTTTCAAAGCAGGCGGCAACGCTTTTAAAAATTTCCTTAAATATTTTTCGTCTGACATCACTATAAATATTTCAAGTAATTCATGAATTAAGTGGAAATTTATTATTTAAACACGTGGCAACCCTACTAAACATAGTTCTGAAATAGACTCATTTCCATTGATAACCATCGTATGGTAATTAATTTAATTTACTAAATAATTTTTATTTAACCCTTTAAACTGGGGCAACCTTTAAAAACATCAAAAATCATCTAAATTGTCAAACTCAATGTTTCTTAAAACTCTTTCATTTTTAATATTTCATATAACTTGGGTATAAAATAATATAATTCGACTTCTCAAATAGGTGGCAACCCTCTGCAAAATATTTCCAAACTACTGCTCTCTTAAACCTCTTTTTTCTGACACCCATATAGTGATACCTTACTTACTTAACAAATTCCTTTAATTAAAAATTAATTACATTTTTTAAACGTGTGGCAACCCGTCCTGCACGTAGTTAATATATAAAGCATTTTCAAAACCATTTCGATTGATACCCATATTGTAACAATTGATTTAACTTTTTAAATAATTTGAGCTTAATTTCTTAACAGGTGGCAACTCTTTTCGAAAAAGTAAAGTCTTATTGATACCTCATTTTTGAAAATCGAAAAAAACGGTACGGATCTGATGACCTGAACAAAAAATTCTTTCGCGTATTATATATATACACAGATTAGGACATTTTAAAATTTATTTCGTTTCCACTTTTACATGGAATGTCCGATATATTGATGTATAAATGCGTACGATGCACTCAGTTATTTATTTGATTTATATACAATCTTACATACATATTACAGTACATAAGTATATGCGTACGTATGTATATGTGTTTTATATAGGTCACGATCTCAACTTGTCATGCCTAAACTTTTTGAATTGAGAGCTGGGCTAAAGTTTTCTAGCAATCTCGTATAAAACTTTATTACACTTCGTCAAAATTTGCCTACAGATACTTCACCTTTGCGCCAACTTTAAGCGAGTTTACAAAATAAAGTTGACAGACGAATGAAATTAAATTTGATGACCGAAGGAGACTTGAAGTTGGGAATAAATAAGTGCGAATAAATGTGTCTAGTATATTTGGATAAAAGATTTGGCGCTTTATTTTCTTCAGTTCATGAGAGAAAATCGAAATTTAATATGAAGAAGATTTCTGTTTTCAGATATTTTTCCGCACACAAACGACGTAACTATGTACATGAACCTGCGCACAAGTTTTTTAAATATTTACAATATTTCTCTAATCACAGTTTTTTGGTAAATTTTTTGTAAATAAATTTATTATGCTATAACTACTACAACCGTGCTAACAATTCTAACAATTTTCATTCGAAATTCAACCATTTTTAATCAGAATTTTTAGGGTATGCAGTTTTATAGCCCATGACATTCTAATATAACAAAGCGACTAAGGATTCGCTATGATTTTTAGTAATTTTTTTGCCGCCTGTTTAACCCCACGTAATCAGATTTGTATTGGTCGATATCGATGGTTCGTGTTGTTCTCATCGCGCCAGTGATGCTAACGCAGGCCAGTCGGTGTACATTGCCGAACTTGACCTGCGTGGACTTCGCTTCGCTTCTTCCTTGGGTTTGGAGATGACATCATGCATCCGCCTTGCCAGTTCGGTCTAATGCCCAATTCCGTCCCATAAGCTTCCGGGAGGTGCAGAACAGAGGCCAGGCCTTTTGAATAGTTTTATCTGGGCGCGGATTCACGGATAATTCCTAGTTATTTGGCCTCTTTGGAGAAGTGTATCTTTTCAGCTTGAAGAAGTGGTTCTAGTAATTTTTCCCTTTTCCTTTTCCTTGAGAAAAAGACAATGCTAGTCTTCTTGGGGTTTACGTTTAAATCATTGTTGCTGCACAAATTGACGACTATGTTCACCGCGTTCTGTGGAGGTTGGAGATAGCATCTTCGAACCTACCTCTGATTAGGATGAAAATGTCAGCCGCATACCCTTAACGTTGAGGCCGTTTTCGCTAAGAAGGCAGAGTAGTTCCTGTACCACCATGGGCCCTAGCAGAGGGGAGATCACTAACTCCTGCGGGCAACCTTTCGTAGCTAAGAATCTGACTCTTTCCTGTCCTAGAGTGGAAGTAATGGTTCTAGATTTAATGGCCTTTGCTATACAGCGGCATGTGGTTTCATCAAACCCTTTGCGCCGCGCGCAATTGTGTATTAATGAATGTTCCATTTTGTCGAAAGCGCCCTCCACATCCAAGAAACATTCCACCGCCACCTCTTTATCCACCGTTTTTTTTCCATACTTTTGGCCTATGTGCGCTTTTATTCGAAACCTAAATGTTCCGGTACCGAGTATCGAGAGTATTGGATACTTAAAAGTATTGATTCAGCACATCACTATTGCTGTCAACTCGACTGTGACGTCAGCAAAACAGCTGATTCTGTCAAATTAACTGAGAGCCGATTAGCGGTATTGCCATCGGCGCCACCTTCTGTATTCTCTCCACCGTGGCATTAACCGAGGCCTGCGGAATGGTATGGCGCACTGCTAATCACCAATAACTTATTACTTATTTACCTTCAAAAATTTGTCCACTTCACAGCTGTATTGCAAACCTACGAGTCTATTTCTGCCATGAAAAACAGCTTCTCATAAAAATACAATCGCCGTTCGGAGCTGGCGTAAAACTGTAGGTCCCTCCGCTCTGTGTGACAACATCAAGGCGCACGCCACAAATCGGAGGAGAAGCTCGGCCAAACACTAACATATGTGTAAGCGCCAATCTATTATTATTATTATTAAACCTACAGAATGTGAAAACTTTGGGTTGTCTATTTATTCCTGGCCTACCTATCGGGTATAAACAGGTAGGTAATACTAATAATTTTCACTCATCTCTTTAACATATTCTATGGGATTTGCGCGAAAAATTCCCTAACACAATAAATTTCATACAAAGTAGATTTCATCCATTAAACAGATGGGTGAAGGTCCGTGCCCTTGTCGGATCTCCTACTATACAATAAAAGATAACTGTTCTGAGTTGAAATTTTAATTTTTAAATATTATTAAACCCTGATTAAATATTATTACAACCTGAAACTAATTCAAACCAATTGCCCTCATACGCTAACAGTTTAAATATCAAATTAGGATTCCATATTCTCAAAATCAAAGCTACGTGGCAAATTGCTTTCGCTAACATACACACCGACACCACCAACAATAAACAGCAAAAGCATATTAGGTACAAAATCTTTAAGAGAGGTTAAATGAGCGTAGCTACGGGCATTCGCAATCCCATTAACTTTTATTTCAAACAGTTTACTTAACAATTTCAAAGCGCAAATTGCTTACAGGCATACCTTGGTATGCACATACATACATACATGCATACGTACATATGTTAATATATACATATGTATATTAAAAGAGATAAGCTGAAAGCACATGTACGATTTGAAATCTAACATTGTAACAACCTCAAAAACACATTTTGGGGAAGGTGAAAATACATACCAACGTATTTACTTTGAAAAGTCAGCAAAATATGCTTACATTTCACTAATGACTTCAAAGAACAACGTATGTAACGTATTTAGATTAACATGCGTGTTCATAATAGATGTAAGTATGTGCATATGTGTACATATGTAAATTTTTAGCTCACTTTGTCAATGTTTTGCTATTTAAATGAGTGTTTGATTTCGTGTAATACAGTGATTACCTCGAAACTCTGCCTCTTTCTACGCATGGAAATTTACTGGGGCGTATACAAAGCAATTTACATAAAATTTTGCATACACAAATATTTGTACATACATACATACATATATAGATATTTAAATTCCTATTTTGTGGTCTAACGGAATGTACGCAAAACCACCAAATATCATTTTATTTGGATTAGATTGTTTTTTTTTCGTTTATTTGCGGCGCTATTTTGTGGTATTTTTTTTGCAGCCACAGAAATGCCAGTGCAAGTGGCAGATTTGTGAAAGTTTACTCAACTTTTTTTAATAAAATGTTGTCCATATTAATGTTCGAAGTTTACTTTGAAATGCTTAAACTTTTATGTGGATTTGTTATCATTTAAATAGAAATAAGGTAAAACCAAGCCATGTTAAATAAGTAGGTAGTAGCAGGAGAGCAGTTATTTTGAGTTTTTTTTCCAAATTATTTGGTTACTAAACTGTCATATGTATATTATAATTTTTTTCACAAAATTTTTTAATTTGCAAAATGTATTTGCATGTAAATCTTCAAAAACCAAACGATTGAAAGCCTGCCTTTGAAATGTTTGCTTAGCTAAGGAGCTTTAACGCTGATAACTGGGCTCTACAAAGGATGTATTGATGCTTTTGGAATGAAACAAATTTACAAAGAAAGAGAGCTGCACCAACTTTTATTATTATTTTTTTTTTATTTATGTTTACACTTCACACCGCCCACAATGATATTAAAAAAATAGCCTGTTTTATGACATTTTAGATATCATCATAAGCAACAACAAAATATACGTATGTACGTAAATATTGTTTTCGCTCATTTGCCTTGGGTAAATATATTACACTAACTGCTACCCCACTGCGTATACGCAATTTATGACTGCACATGTACATATGTATGTATGTATGCAGGAGTAAGCGTGGCCTTTCTTTGTAAATTGCGTACTGGGAGCACTTGCATTCGCCATAAATTTACAAAATATGCCGAGCGCCACCAAACCGTGAAAACTAAAATATTTATTTACATTATAGATTGTATGTATTGCGCGCCTAAAACTTACAAAACCCCGAAAGAGTGCATATTGAAATCTTTATATTGCGTGGCGTTTGTTTCTGTGGCCAAAATTAAATTAAGCACCTTATACTTTGATTTTGAGCTTCAGGCCGGTAATTAAATGAAACGTAAATTGGAATATATGTATATTTGTCAATTTTATTGTGGTTTATTAACATTTTATTTTAATATTGGCATTGAACTTTGTACCATGATTAATGGAAAAAGCAATAAAAAGTTAGCGGTACAAGTTATTGCTGCTATTTCGGATATCACCACATCTCCCTCATCAGACTTCGTTAGCGGCAAATCAGCTTCACTTGATAGTAAGTAGTAGGTTCAATAAGGAAATGAACTAGCAAAAATACATAGTTTACGGGGTGGGCATAGCTCAGTGGTTAACGCTTCTGACTTTGCACATTGATGCTGCGGATTCGATCCCTGCTGCAGTCTATAAAAAGAAGTGTGATGAGAAGATGTGGTGATCTCCGAAATAGCAGCTATAACTTCTACCGCACAAAACTTGGTTGCTTTTTCCCTTTTTTCCTAATAAACATAACCGTGGTACAAAACTCAATAACAGTATTAAAACAAATTGGAATAGTTTTATTAATTACATTTATTGTTGCCGATATATCTTTTTCAATCTGGAGGCATTTTCAGGATTTATTGGGTTGTTCTAATGAAAGTAAAAAAGTTACTTCCGCCAATAAAAAGCTACAATGGTCTGGTAGCCTAAATCTAAAGTTGATCTAAATCTGATACAAGATCCCCGCCAATCCTTCCATAAAGCTGCGTCCATTTAAAAGTTATTAGTATTTGCGTACAGCTGCCGCCTTCCACTCCGTCACCTTTTGAAGGGCTATTAGCAGGAAATGAGCTCCTGAAAGGCAGCTTAAGTACGTGATCAGTATTGCACTGGACGAAGGCAAAACTTACAATAATATTTGAGTTTCCACAGTCTGAGTCAGTTAAGCTCCCAATAATTCTAAATCTTTAATAGGCATTACACTAAGTCCTTGAGTAGGATTAATTCAAAGTAACTCACCGATTCTATAACAGGCTACTCGTTGTAAAATAAACGTACGTTCCTCTATCGAATTCCACCAGATGAAGATTGCCTAGAACATTACAGGCCTAACATAGGTATCACAGCAAGTAATATTGGAATGTCTCAGGTTCGATTTCTGCTTTGGCCAACATTAAAATGTTTTTCGACCAGCGGTCGCTTATCGACAGGCAATGGCAAACCTTCAAGTTAGGATGCAACTTAGATTTAAGGTACCTCTCTTCTGAAGACATCATGGCGTTCACCCCCCCATGAAAAAGAGAAGTTTGGACAAACACTTAACAAGAATATTAAGCCCAACAATTTATTTATATTTATTTATTTATATTTCTTAATGTCCTCAAAATTAAGATACGACGAACCCTTCTATCTACAATCAGTCTATCAGATATAATAAATTCTGTGTTACGAGTCCACTGCTTTCAAACTAAATTTAGGTAGCCTTGGATCAGGACACAAACGAGTGATAACGTAAACGAAGACAGAAAAGAGGATAATTAAGAAGCTGAAGACGAGGATAAATATGAACGGAAACGAGCACGGGATAAGAGTACGAAGACGTATGAGAAAGAGAACGAATACGAACGCGAAGACGAAAACGAAAACGAAAACGAATGCACATGCGAACACGAATACGAAGGTAAACACGAAAACGAGAACTGCCATTACAATCCCGATGACCATAACAATTAGCATTACCTTTACCATTATCTACCATTATCATTACCATTGCCATTACCATTACCATTGCGACTACCATATTACTGTTACCTTTACCAGTGCCATTACTATAACCAATAACATTAATATTACCATTGCCATTACCATCACTAATACCGTGACGATTACCAATACCATTACTAATAAAACTACCTTTATATTTTATATTTAGCATTTGCTTGAAAAAACACCAAAAAATTTAGTTTTAGCTGAAGGTAGTTCGAGTAACAAAGATAATTTTGGTTTACAGCTTATGTGTGCACGCAACATATCTCTTTCAACATGATTTTTTTGTTAAAATTTATAAAATAATCATTGTTTGCGGTCGTTACTTTAAACCTTATACTTCTTCACATAATTTACCCGCGAGCCTTTTTCTTGATTAATATAAGTCCATAAGTATAGTGCAATACAATCGCTCGTTTAAGCCACACATCACTATATACTTACTACTTCTGTACGCGCACATACTTACTACATATATGTAAGTAGTAAAATAAGCATCCTCTGCATAATAACGGATTACTCAAGCGTGCGCCATCGAACCGCCAAAGTAGATCCGTAAGCAAAATGAAAATGCATTGAAGAAAATGTATTGTGGCCACCACTAACGCTGTTGCAACCCAACCGAACACAAAATAAAATATGATGCGGAATAATGATAAAAGCAAGCTGATGGCTATTTGCAAATTTCAGCCACAAGGGACACGACTATTATAAAGGAAAAAAAAAAGTTTAAATATAACAGCCAAGTGACTTGTTGTTATAAATACTAGCAACAGCGGCAGCAAGCGCAATCGCCATCTCTGGTGGCATGATTATTAATAAAGAGTGTAATCATTTTTCTGGCGCTCATAAAAAAACAAAACCAAATAGATAATAAAAATTTATAAACAGCAACAATACTACAGGTAAATAAACATAGTGAACGAGAAATAAAAAAATTTATAAATAAACATTTTTCATTGCATTGCACGCCATTAGCAACGCCTTCCTTCCCCAGAGCACTCACTATCCCCACTCATTTTCTGCACTTTATCACATCACATCGACCTTCATCTGCATGCCTTTCAACTCACTTACCGTGCATGGACGCCGGCGAGGAAGCAATGTCACGACGTAGTCTTCTTGCAGCGTGACTCACGCCACTCTGCTCGGCCATAATTTTTCCATCATTCGTTGTCGTTGCAGTTGGCGTATCTGCAGCGTGTCTGGCATGGTCCACATACTTGCGCTCGTTTTTCACCAATGTGCCATCGCTAGCTACCATCACTGCTGCTGCCGGTAGTGTCGTCGTCGCCATTCCCGCTGCCGCTGACGGCGCTCGAATTGTGCTGGAAAGGAAAAGAAAATAAAATTTGATAAAAATTAAAGAATAACTCGAGAAGAGAAAAATTAAAAAAAAAAATAAACATTTTATCAGTGTTGTGTTGGAAGGAACCGTGCAATTTTTGTCATAACAATATACTATAAGTAGAGTAGATACAAAAAAAAAATTTGGGAAATTAGAGCAGCGGCGCCAAGAGGTCGAGACGCTGACAACCGGTGTTGCTTATGAATGCGGCTTAGAATAAAATAAAATTGTTAAGAATATAACTAAAGTGCATCATGCGAACGGCGAGGAAAAGGACAGGTTGGCTATCAAGCGGCAGAAAAGCTCCGCTAAAGGCGAAAATGGGGGACCTACGCAACCCTCCGCAGCAAGAGGGACAGAAAGTCAAAACGGGGTATGGCCCTCTCAATGGGGTACGTCTGTGGCAAACCTACGGAGAAGCCCGACCTGTTATTCCCTATGAATTTAGAGATTCCAGTGTGAACTTTAGAACCATACTGAACAGCAAGCTGTCGTAGAAACTCAATATGCAGCATGAACTAGTAGAGACTTGTAGTAGTAAATAAAAATGTTGCAAGTTATTTCGGGACTTTTATGTTGAGCATCATTAAATTTGAAAAATATGTCAAAATGACAAAACCTAAAAATTCATTGAAACATGTAAACAAGACAAATTCATACAAGACAATAGCGGCAGCACAAAAACAAAAAAAAAACACTAAAAAATTAAACACACGATGACAATCAGAGCACGAAAAAATGTACAACAAACACAACATTTTGACAATCGGCACAATTCGCCTTGAAATCAGCCGCTTCGGTAACACCACCTTGTATGAATTCGCCTTGCGGGTAAGCATTTGAAAGCGAGATTGTACGGCAAAACTCAAGTGCTAAGTAAAATAAAATTGGGCGGAGATTTTGCGATTGGAGTAGTGAGAAACATATGTAAAAGTTATAAACAAATTATAAATTCCTGTACGTCTGAAATAGATTGACAAATCGCATCTTAGAAGAAAGAAGAACAAATTTGAAAAGTAAAAACGTGAGTGCGATTAAAAATACTCAATTCTCTATCAAAACGTATTAATTATAAAATAAAATGAAAAGTTCAATAAAGGTTTTAATTAATTCATTTTGCATAAGCAAATACGAATGCAAATATTCGTAACATCCCTAATATGAAGCGTTATCGGTCGAACTTTTTAAAAGGGAATCCATTTAAAACGAAAACTTTTTAACTGCTTGCGCTTGTTTGTGTATATGTATCCACCCTGCATTAAAATTTAGAGACAGTCTGTTAAAGCGCTAGTTCCGCCCTATACATTTCAGAACTATCTCTGAACTAGTGCAAAACGGCTGCAGAGAAGGACAGTTGAAATTCTTAGTGTGCTAGTTGCGCTCTGTTAAGAAGTAAATTCACAAATTCTCAATTCTCGTACAATACTAAAATAGCTCAGCGAGTTCAAGTCGCGGTGCAGCCAGTTGGGATTTTCTAATTTAATAAATTTTAATTGTTGAGTGTCGCTCAAAACTTAAAGAGAAAATAATCAAATTTAATATTGAATAAAATAAAACAATAAAAATTAAATAAAATGCAATCTGTAAAAGAACAGCAAAATAAATAAAAAATATCAAAATACGAGTAATCAACATTTTTTTCATAAAAAAACTTATTGTCGCAGATCTTTCCAAAATGAATACCGCCTCTTAAAGAGCTAGTTCTGCGTTAGTTCTGAACTAGCGCGATTTACTGCAGGGCAACTATGCAAGTTGAGTACCTCTTTTGAATATCAAATTAGTTGTAGTTGGGTGTAACAAGCGCGAATAATGAATAAATCAAACATGCAATTCTCCTATGCCCTTGCCATATACATACATACATATCGTCTTCTAAAGTACAAAACGGCGTAACTGACATTTGCTACCAAAGATTTGATTTGCCCACACAAGCTCTTGGCTTAATCCTTATCCATTCGTCCTGAAATATACTAGCCTGAAATGCGATTGCTTTATAAAAAAGCGAACCATTTTGAAATATAAGTGTTTTTACTCTCTAGAAAATAATTGATGCAACTTCTCTCTCCGTCTCTCTCCTGTACTACTAAGCATTTTGCTATTTTCCTACGCTATTACCAGTTTTTTTTTTTATATTCGCTGACTCATTGCTGCATAAACTGTATTACATAAGTATTTAGTAAGATATTACTGCACGTTGTATTTTACGTGTTGCCCTTTGCGTGTTACAGGTTCAAGGTTAATTCGTCTTCGCAGACGGCTTTGGGTGGCTACATACATATGTACGTCAATGTGAACGTCGTCAAGCGATTTTAAAAGTACAGCTACGCTTCACAAGCAGCTCACACTTGGATATAACTAAATACAAGAGCGTGAGGACTGCCATCAATTTGTCTATCGTTTTCGCTAACTTGCATTTTGATGCTGTTTTTGGCGGCGTTGAACAAATTTTTGGCAACAGCGTAAGCTTATTTGCATTTTATTGACCATTTGCGCCAGCAATATGTTCTTGAATTAATTAAGTGGATTTTCAAATTGCTATGGAAACTCACTCAGTTCGCTGGAGGTTTTGGCATTATTATCGTAATGTGTGAGGTTCGAACACCACCACCCCGAAATGCCTGCGGAAAATTTTAAGAACATTTTATTTTCATTTCGTTAGTTGTGTAAACCAAGACACTACTCTTTTTATTTCCGTATAACTGTGTATGAATTTTCAAGTATTTGCGAAAATACGCATATCTTTGGTTGTTTGAATTTTAAGGCTTTCGAAGCTTTCAAAAGGGTTAAAATATTTGGACTCAAGTTGCTTCTTTCAACATTTTGCAAATTCGGTATCATTCAGAGTTTCAACGTGAGCGCGTTGTTACTGATCCACATTTTGAGATAAATTTAATTTACCTATTTGAGAGAACAAAAAGTGCTACGTTCCGAATGCATTCTGTAATAATAACGAACTATTTTAAACCGAAAAACATATAATTAATATATTAAAGTTCATTTCGACTATTGCGAGCAACATTGAGTGGGATTCAGATGAACAAAGTGTTTAAAAAATTTTCACTGAGGAAAAGCGTGCAGCATTCTTGAGCCAAGATCAAAAAATCTATATTCAAAACTATATTCACTGACTTCTGGTATGAAAGCTGATTCAAATTAATTCAAAATGCAGAAACCTTTTCTCGAAGAGTTTTTATTTAAAGGATTTACCCTCAATCCGCTGATTGAAGACTTTCCGGATTATTTAGAATAGTGATGATATTTAATCCTAGTGTTACCTCCGTTTATGAAGCTTCTCTCCAATTTCTTCCCCCGTTTGATCAAACCACTCCTGAACGGCACGTTGTAACATACATAAAAAAAATAACAGGGTAATTCTGGCAACTAACTTTTTTTTAACAGTAAAAATGTATAAATGAAGAAAATTAAATTAGAAAATGAAAACAAATAGTACTAAAAAATTTAATTAAATTAAAAATAATTTTATTTAAAAAAAGAAAAAGAAACAATTAAAAAAATTGAATAAGATCCTAAAAATTTAAATAAATAAAAAACAAATATTTTTTCTTTTTAAAACAATTAAATCTAAAAATCTTAAAGAAAATTAACAGAAGCGTAACACATTACATTTAAAAAACTAAAAATAAATAACATTTTTTTCTAAAAAGTAAATAAAATTAAAAACAAAATGCTTTTTTTTACTCAATAAAATCTAAAATATTAAAGAAAATTTAACTAAAAAACAAAAACAAATTGTAAAAAAAGAAAACAATGAAATAAGTTCCTTAACATTAAATGAAATTAAAAAATATTTTTCAAAACAATAACAATTAAACCGTTAAAAAAAGTTAATAAAAAAAAGATTATTTAAAAAGAAAAAATTAAATAAAACGAGTTTATAATAATTAAATTTAAAATAAAGAATCGGAAAAATTATATTAAAGAAGAAAAAATTTAGATTTAAAAAAAAGAATAAAATTCTGCTCCGCCACGACTCAAACTCGAATCTCTCAAATGCCATGCCTGTGCTTTGCCCACTCAGCTACTGCGACTATTAGAGCGACGCGAGCTAAATGATGTACAAGTGCTTTCTACCAAAATAAATTTTCACGACGACTGTTGGAGTGGTTTCTCTCCAAATAGCTTTTGACCACGATCGGTGAATGAGAGTGTGCTTTTTTTCTAAGACTTTTGCGTAAGAATAGCAAAAGCCTTTCGAACTGTCTTGTCATCTGTATTTCATTTGTCTTACGAAAGATTTAGCCAGAATTTCCCTGTAAGTATTTTTTACTCTTGCTTTTCTTGAGGTAGAATTTCAAAATGTGGAAATTTTTCTTTGAAAATTGATCTTGTTCAATACGGTCGCAGTGATCTTGAAGTTCTGGTATAATTTAGGGCAGCAAAATATTTTTGATACGACAACACTGCTTTCAATTCCAACACGGCATAAATATTTAGCAAACTCTTTTAATTACGCGCTTTTCCTATTTCTATAAATTGTGTGGATACTGGCCAAAATCTGATCAATTTATTTTTTTTATCTCCTTTGAACTTTTCTGGCTTTGAATATTACATAAGCATTTTAAATCAAGGATATAAAACTTCGCTCTTTGGTAAAAACTATTTAGGTGTAACAACAATTTAGCCGCTCATCGATTTTTCCTCTTCCACCCACTACATTGAAAGCTTCCTAATGTCTATTATGCCCTCCATTCAAATTCCAAAGTTAGCAATGACACGCCACCTGGTTATAATCAAATTACATTCCAATTTGATACATCAACCTTCGCAAATACCAATACGTGGGCCACCACGACACGGCGCCACTTCATCAAGCAGCCAGACTACCTAACTCCCAAGCACACCACACGGACGGTACGTGTCCCTGTGTGGAGCACTGTTGAATTTTGTAAATGCAATTAATCATCGCCTACAGAATGTGAACTCGCCTCGCCATATGAATTGTGTGTACCTTCATTCAGTTAATGGTGGTTCCAGTTCACTTACCTTTGTTGGTAGTTGGAAATTGGCTCAGCGCCTCCAAAGGCTCCATTGTACTCCCGTGTTGCTTGTTGTTTTTGTTGACCCTCTTGCTGTTGCAACACTTGCATCACAATGCCGCGCAACACATGCTCCGATGCGAGCAGTTCACGTTGAAATTGTTCTCGGAATACGAAATTCGCATCTGGCGGCGGCGGCGACGGCGGCGACGGTGGCGGCGGCGTCACAGTTATTGGCATTCGGCTACGTTTAGTTACTTCCCCATCCGTGCTGGTAGAGTGCACATGCGAGTAGAAGAGCACCGAAAGCGTGGCCACGGCTAGTGCGAGTGTGCCAAGGCACATATAGACCGCATACAATGAAGTGGGCGGCGTGGCTGCCGCAGACGCTGTAGGTGAACGCGTAGGCGGATTGAGTGAAGGTGTAACTGTAGGCGGATGGGTTTCTGCTGAAAAAAGCGAACCTTTATTTATACAATCGCAGTCACAGCGACAGCCGGTGAACGTGGCAAGCGCAGGCACTTTTGCCTTTCCCCTCTGTTGCGGTTCACTTTGTTGCCGTCGGCATTGGCTATTCGAAAGCGCATGCTGGCAATTTTTACATTTCGCCGTCGATTGCAATTTCGCGGCTGTCAGCGTTGTTGCCATTTTGGTCGCATTCACAGCGGCTGTTATTGTCCTGCTGTCGGTTGCAGTTTCCAGCAACATATCATCAATTAGATTGACCGTGGAGCTGGCAGTCGAGCTTGCCAGCGACGTGCCGGACGCATCAATTGGTGGCGTTGTTGTTGCTGACACATCCGCTTGTGGCGCTGCTATCGCTTCCGTTTCCGCTGGCATTTCGCCTAACGGCATTGTTACACTGCTACGTTTGGCCAGCGTCTCTTCGTCGACAGCAACACCACCTGCCCGCCGTATACTCTCCTTTTTGCGCCTTTTGGCTGCCTGCCCATTGAGTTGATTTATTGCCAAAAACATTTTTGCGAAGTGAGTTTGTTCTTCAGTTATTACAACTTCTTCTCTGTTAGTCGCAGCGCTTTATTGTGTGTAGTTGGTACAATTGTTTGTTGAATATTTTTTTTTTGTTTGCCGCCACTGGAAATCAGATTCGTTTTTCCGCTTTTGCTAAGCGATCGGTGAAAGTACGTTGTAACTGTAAAGAAACTGAGTGTTAAAATTAAATTTAAAATATTTGCATGTACATACGGTGGCGAGAATGTAAATAGGGAAAGAGAGTTAAGCAAATTTTGAGTACTTTTCTTAGATTAAAAAATTTTTATTATTTTTTTATGAAAATATAGTTAACTATTAACTAGGTACTGTTTACTAGTTAAATCAAAATATCAAACTTTATAGAACATTTGTAAAAATTTTACGAATTTTAACAAATGTCGATCAAACTTTTCAACTTTTTAGTCAGATTTTTAGAATTTTCTTTTGGTATGCAGTCTAGTATAACAAAGTGCTAGTTTGAAGCAGCTAGGCTTTACCTTTAGTTTTTGGAAATTAAAACAAAAAAAAAATATGAAACTTTGTCAAATTTTGCTGTTTTTGTACAAAGTTTGAAATTTGAATTGGTTTTTCTCAGACAACAAGCTACGCTTTGAAAAAAAAATAAACTTTGAATAATAGAAATGGATTTTTGAGATTTTTTTTTTTTGAGACGAGTTTTTGCACTTTTTTCCTAGAAGCATGGATTTCTTATGAAATAAAATGCGGTAGACCGTTAGCAACAAGCTTTCAAAAAACCAACGCCAGTTTTTGTAAATTGCAGTTGTTATATAAAAAAAAAAGCGCAAAAGCAGTATCGAAAAAAAATTCTCAAAAATCAATGCGATTTTGTAGCAGGTTGAAACTTGCATTTCATTAGACTAAAATTTAATGGGCTACAAAACTGCATACTAGTTTCTGTAAATTCTAGAAAATCTGAATAAAAAGTTCAACATTTGGATGAAATTTTTTTGAATTTTCGTGAACATTTTATTAAGTATGAAACTTTGATTTATATGGTTTATATTATAGAATAACTATATTTTCATAAATAAATAAGGCAACAAATTTTTCATACAAATAATTGTGAATATTATTATTAGAACAAGGTGTACACTTTCGCCTATTGTATGTGTACCGAGTTTGGCATAAATCGATAAATCGGTTACCGAGTGACACAAATATAAATATGTATATACGAAAGGCGGTGCTCTACCTGTGACTGGTGGACTGGCAACAACCTACAATTCAGCTAGCCAGCTGTCTTTTGAAGCTGTTGCTGTTGAAATATGGCAATTTCTCAGTCAGATTTCCTTGAGGTTACGTACATACGTACTCATACATATGTACAAGTGCGTGTGTACGTATGTACATGTATTTCATATTGTTTTGCCAAACAACAATTAATTATGAAACACGTGACGTGTAGCGATAAAGCCATGACAGCAATAGTGGAACGCAGTCACTTTAAATGGCGATGTTGCCAACAAAAGCTCGCGATTCCACCTTGCACTTCTATATACATAATGTATGTATATAAATATGTATATATGCATCGCGAATGTAGCAGATGTGCAATGTTTATTCAATTTATTCTTGAAATTTCCCTCTTTCTTGTTTTTCATATTTCGAGCAAATGATACGCAGACACTATTTACCTAAAATTGTCGTTTTCTTTTGCGTATTCAAAATTTTAAATTTAATATAAATGCATGGGACCTGAAAGCGATACGAATATTTTCGGTGATACTGCAAAACGATCTATTCATGTCAATTAGTACCATTGCACAGAAACTCCAGAATTTTAACTTTTTATTCTAATAGCCAAAATATACAGTATTTAAAGTAAGTATTATTAAAATATTATAGCAATTGCCTCAATATTGTGGTCGCAATTACATTTTGATTAAAATAGTTGTATAGTAAAATGCATTTTTCTTTTCAAGAAAATAAAAATATTTTCCTTTTGTCTTTTTTTTCTTATTTATAAGATACAGTAATATAAAAAAAAATTCAAAAATAGCCTTTTCTTAATATAATTCGACATCTTTATTTAGCCAGGCGTTAATTTCTATGTACCATCTCACATCACAAAACATGCATTAAATATACCTTAAGATGAATTTGCACAACTTTGAACACTTTTTAAATTTTTTTTTATTTTATTCATCTTCTTCACTGGCGCTGTAACTACGTGAGCGATTTTGCTTCGATCCTTCATATGTGTTTATCACTTTATAAATAATTAATTAAAAATTTTTAATTTTCCGAGTTGCTGAGATAAGTTCTGAGAGGATGAACATAACGTCCACACTTTAATCTTATTTTTTATTTTAAAACGTTAATTAAAATTTCTTTTCTGAGGTAAGTAATTTAATGAAATTAAAAAAAAATAAATACTTCAACAAAAATACAAAACCGAAGTCTGAATTCGTAATTGGTAAAAAAATAACAAATAATAATTGGTAGAAAAACTATAAATATAAAAACATAAACAGAAAAATAAAAATAAAAAAAAACCGAAAAATTAAAAAATGATGTCTACATTCGTACGGTAGCCTCCTCCTGATGGGCTTCGGAACCTTCATTTAGTGTAGGCTGACTAGGCCATTTCGAATTTTATAAATCTATCTTCAACTTCGTGATCGGTGAGCCCAAAATTCATAGAATTACAAGTTTCAAGCCAATCCGATTACTTTGGAGACTATTATCCGCCGTATAGGATCCGCCATTTTGAATATTTAAAATCTAACTTCAGACGAGACCGACCCCAAAAACCCTCAGTAACAAGTTTTAATTCATTACGATAAGATTTCGAATATTGGCCGCTTTTTATCGTTTGCTGGCCCATAGTGCATTGTCAGTAAATACAAAATTTCTTAAATTGGTGTGACTTACGTTCTTTGTAAAATCGTTTCATTTCAGAAGCATCAATCAGTGTTGGGCAAATTTCAATTGTAAGGACAAATAACAATTAATTAATTAATTGTTAATTGCTACCACCACTACTTTGCTTTTTGGATGAAATGTGGGAAGGAAATAATGTTACTCATACGCCGTGTACATGTCCACACTCGTGCATAATCGTACATGGCGTATGAGTAACATTTTTCGCCTGATCTAGAGACCGGTGTACAGATTCGTAACCTAACCAAAATTAAGTTTATGTGTCTCGGCGTTTGTTTGTCAATGTTTGTACTCAATGTGGACAATCGTCAATTTCAATGAATACATACATATAAGTATGCAAAATTCAGTCGCTCCATTTCATAGTCTGCGCAAATATTTCCCCAAACGCTTAATGCCCGGTTTCGATTACAAAGATACCGCCAGCCAGCCAGCCAAAAATGAATTGGCCACACAATATTCGAAATTTCTCTTATAAAAATCCTTCGCCACTTTCCCATCTGACCACTTACTGAAAGTACAGCGCACGCTAAAATAAATCCACCGCTTGCATATTTAGTAAGCATTTACTGCTATCACACCTCAACGGATAATTGCCACAGCGAAAGCTGCGCGCGCGTCAGGTAGAGACTCAACGTTTCCGAATAGAATTGTAATCACCTCCTTTCCAAACACAACGCTGCTACTAGTGAGTGTATCCCCTTACCCCACAAAGCATGCAGATGGCAACGCTGCGATGCTGACAATATCAACAAGCGCGTTCGCGTCGTTATCTCGACTTGCACCATGTCGGTAATGAAGCCAAACTGTGTTGAAATGCGAAAGCAAAAGGTGAAGCAAAATAAAGTATACCTGATTGAGCACAAGCGCCGGAACGGAAAGGCGGCAAGAAACAAAAAAAAACACAAAAAATTGAAAAAAGATTTAAGTACGTGACAGCAAATAAAAATAAAATCTCAGCTTTTTATGAGGTTTCGCGAATTCCCATTCAGTTCCTTTAAACCAGCGGAATTTGCGTGCCATGTCTGCTGAAGGTGCTTTTGCTTTTGCCTTTGACTTTGCCTTTAAGCCAATCCTTTCACATCGGCATCACCAGTTTCCTCTTCCTCCCCCCCCCCCCTCCGCACCGAAATCCGCATAAAATCCTTTGCGATTTTCCATGGATTCGCATCGTTCTGCTAGTGAAATGAATATGCGTATGCCACATCGTTGATAGCCTAACGGTAGTCTGCACCCTAGCAAGCATGTGCTCACAATTCAGTTTATACTCAACAGATGATACCGTATAGCGCCCCTTCGTTGATGGGGTCGAAGGACGCTGAACGAAGGACAAAGGGTTAGCGGGTAGGTAAGTCGATGCCAATGCAAACGTGATCAACTGTAAATGGAGTGTTCAGTTGCGCATTTGTGGTGTGACATCGCATTTTATTATTGCAATCGTTAGCAGTACTTGCACTCGTATTTTGACCCTTTTTTTTATGATTTTTCCTTGGCTTACATTGTACCATGCTATGTGTATTTGTTTGGAAATATATGTATGTATGCACATTTATTGTATAGCAAAAGATCTGCAAAACGCCAGGTTCGATTGAGATAACAGGGTTTGTTTGAGTTGAAGGTGGCCGTAAATTCTCAACTTTACGCAATGTGCAAATCTTTAAGCAAATAAAAATTGTTTTCTACTAAAACTAAACATAAAGTTGCCAACGAACTTCAAGTTACAAAAAAATACAAACGTCGGAGCGTTAGGCTTTTTGGGCGCCAAACAAAGCAGCAAAGAAACGCGAAAATTCTGTGCTGATCAAGAACGTTTACTGTCTAAAATAATTTTTAAGCGGGTTGCCACCAATTTAAAAAAAAAAATTAAGCCTACTTTCTTAATACCCTCGGAAAAATATTAACTAACACCCACATTCATAAAAAAAGAATGCTTTATATCGAAATTTTTTTTTGGAAAATCTTACGTCATAAAGCCCTTTAAATCTATTTTATAATGTATGTATGAGGCCATTGGGGAGAGAGTAACAACACAAAATAGACGAAAATGACCACTGGACGAAAAACCCAAGATGGAAAATTCCAAATTAACAGACACTTCTGCTGCTTGTTAAGCGCCAACTGTTTGTTCTGACAGGAGTCGTCGTCATCCACTTAATATCCTCTCAGACTCCTATTTTCGTGGCTATTTTCGTGGCTATTTTGGAAACGACTTATGGTCGCCACAAATATCATCGATGACGAACTGTACAGGTTGTC